GCTAGAAGCGCTCCAATGTAGAGCGCTCAGATGGAGTACACGCAACTACACAGCTCCTTACAACATTCTACTTCGTGTGAAAAATATGTTGCCTATTTCTCTCATCCACCCACTCAATGATCTCACCCTTTTCAACAAACTTCTCAACGACAAATTAGATTTTGATTTGTTCCACTTTGTCTCTTATGCACCGGAAATGACCGGTCACCGATCCTCCGATAAAGTTATGTTTGAGATCCGACGCAATAGGAAACGACGAACTGGGGAGTCCTTCTTTAATCGTGTGGTGAAACTTGCGAATCAATTTCTCGCCCATCCTAGTCTTGGAATCGACATTTATGTTAGTCCCGTTACCTTCAGGAGAAACATTAAAATTTTTCTATTCAATATCACAGCGAATGCATACTCAATGCAAAACTCGTGCTCTTGGTTTATTAAATGTAATTGTTCTACTTGTACGTCTTGATTTTGTTATTACATTTCTTTATACCTTCATGGAAGGAATTTAAGTCTTTCTGTTGTTGTTGTTTAATTTGAAGTATCGATATCGGTATCGTTTTTGCTGTTTAAGTGGTATCGGTATCGGTATCGGTATAGTTTTTTCGGAAAATAGCTTTTGAGTATCGGGAAAAGTATTGTTTTGTATTGTATCTTAAAATAGACTCAGAAATAAAAAAACTTTTTTCGAACATTTTTATTTATGACACAATAAATAAAAAGCAAATGATGACATTTACTTAGAAATACATTGCGCGAGTGGGTAGCCGGGCTCATCTGACCTTGTTTGATATATTTATGATTGTCAATTGCAGACCATTTATCAAACGTTATGCACAGCAAATCGGACTTCGACCGCGCAGTGAAAATTTCACGAAACTTTTTAAATGCTTCGTGGTACTTGCCTTCGATGTAGTTGTCAAGAGATTGATAAGTAGGTTTGTCGTAGTTCAGTTGTCGATACATGAGCTGGAGTATCGGCGAGTTGACGAACTTTGTTATAAAAAAAAACTAAATTACAAAAGGGGCCCTTCCGTTTAGTAACGGTAAGTGCACAAGCTTGATAGGGCCATACCAGCGATATAAAAATGCATATATATCAGCAATGAAGTCATAAATCAACATTAAATGCATCGTCGTAATGTTAATTTATCTTAGCCGTCCTTCCTCTACAATAGCGCTTATGGAGTTGTCGATAAATTGAGCTTTGCGTAGCGATCTGCACCCCTTATACAAAGTATAGAGTTTCTCAGGAGCGCGAAGCTTATTTTAGTTCTTATGTAGTTTATAGATTCTGGATAGCTTTCTTGTTTTTTTTTCACTTAGTTTTTCGGCTAATCGCTGCATCGTCTTCGTGGCTGTTGGAGCAGCGCCACCGGTGCATCCAAAAATAAGCGGGCAGAAGCTACTCTGCTCTACGTTTAATATTCTTTGCTGATATTTGGAGTTCTTCAGCGTTTTGTGGTATTTGTATGCATCCTTATGCAGTTTTCGCGATGTTTTGGCATGGGGTTGAAACTTTTCACATCGAAGAAAAGGCGGCTGAATCGTGAACCCCAGAGTCTGTTTGCCTTAATGTCAAGTCGTGCCTCATCTTCAAGTGAAGTTGAATTGTTGACAAAGCTTTCGCCTTGCAACGGCTGAATTTTCGACTCAATCTCGACGTCATGGCAAACCTCGTTCATGAGGTTGGCGAATGTGTCTCTTATTTCATTGTGTCGTATGTGTGTGTAACCACCCTTTGCACAGTGAAGCGCATGTGTCAAGTTAAAATCAGCACCACATGCACATGTGAGTGGGGTTTTGACTGGTTCCCATCCGTATCTTAAGTAAATACCATCTCTGAACTCTGATTTATTCAAGTTGAAGTTGTATCTGCTCAGTGGTAGAGCATTGAGCCAGTTAGCGGCTCCCTTTTCAGAGGCCAGGTCGATTGTGTATTTATCTGTTTCATTTAAGGAGTTAATGAGGTTTGTTTTTTTTTTCGATTTGTTCTATCAGTTTTCAATTTTTTATTTTTCGTACATATTTTTTCTCGCTGTGTTACTGCTGTAATAGGATCTTGAGATTCCAGTACCAGTGATGTTTCCTTAGACCATTCTAGGTAGCTTTCATGATCGGGTGGCAGTTTGATGTTAAGTCCGCCCATTTTAAGGGGCAAGGAAGATATCTCACGGAACTGGGGATTTAAAGTGTCTTTACCGACTAGGATAGGTAATAATTCTTCTTTGATAAAGTTTTCACATATTTCTAAGTTTTCCATAGTGTTAGGCGTTGTCCTGGCAAGAAATGAAAGCTTTTCTTGAACTCCTTTTGTATAGCAGGCATAAACGCTTTGAGGGGAGGTTTTAGCAATTTTCGTTAGTTTTTTCAAAATTTTGATTTGCTCATTCTGTTGAAATTCGAGGAACTTTTTCCATTCAGATTCTGTTCCTATAACTGAACCAAGCACTCGGGCTCCTGCCTTTATAGTGATTCCTGTATTTGCGAAGATTTTCTGAGCTTCACCGAGTTTTTCATCTTTGACAATGAGTTGGCATTTGGATGCTTTCACGTGGTAGCCGAAAAATTTACCCAGTGATACAATTTTATCGAGGACGGTTCGTAGATTTCTTAATTTACCGACTGCGTTTCCGTCGTCTGCGTACCATTTCTGGGTTACATCGTCTACTGGTAAGAGTTTTATGAGGGGTATTATGGCTAGACCGTACATGGCCATTTCTAGTGGATCCCCCTGGATTGTCCCTTCTTGAGAGTAGATTGTTTTTTTGTTAACGAATAAATTAGATGGATTGGAGTAGGAGCTCTTAATCGCTGTTAAAAGGGAAGAGCAGGTGTTTTCGATGTTTTTGAATGCCAGCTTTCGGTTCAGCGAGTTGAAAGCGTTTTCGGCATCTATCAGTAAAATAGCATCGGCGGAAGTTTTGCTGTATTGATCTCTTAGCGTGTGGATTGCATATTCAATGCCACATTTTTGTCCTAGGCAGAGTTGGTAGTTTGAACCGAGCGACATGAGTTCGTTTTTCAGGCATTTAGTTATTGTTCGCCCTATTATCCTACGCATAACTTCTCCTATGCCTATGGGTCTTACACCTGGATTTTTATCTAAGGGTATTAATCTGCATGCGTTATATGGTTCCATTAGTTCTGGATTTAGTTCTTCTGTGGCCAATTTTTTGCCAATTTTAGCAATTGTTTTTGAAAATTCAACTGATTGTTGCCCGAAGTGTGTTAGAATACGTCTCCATTCATTCGCATCGAGGCCGGATGGTCCATGCGATCCGTGCGTTCTCATTGCTGCCCTCTTGATATGTTGACCGTTTATCTGATCAAATAACGATGGATGGAAAGGAATTGTTTCGTTTGACACTGGTGTAATATAGTTCTCATTAATTGGTTTAGATGGTGGGTGTTTCGATATGAGAGTCTGTTCTACTGTCTTACCTTTGACAATCTCGTCGAGCGAAAGAACGCCTTTAGATGTGTCTGTTAGTTTTGCAATTGCGCTTGATGTTTTTCCAGTAATCATTAGTTTGTTGAACTGTTGTGCTTCAGTTTCAGTTTTTCTTCTACTTCCTTTCAACAAGCGCATTTGGCTGCGGAAAATGAACTCCAAAAAAATTGGACAGAGCCAATTTTTGACAGCGAAATTGGAGACTTGATTTTACGACGCGAGCCAACGGACGTAAAAAGATTCAACTCGTTCCAAGATAGATTCGGCTCCAAATGGTTGAACGTCATCCCGTACAAAAATATAAGGTTAAAACTGTCGAATCAACAATTCAGAATTGCGATAGAACTTCGATTAGGCTCAAAATGCGGACGGCCCGGAAGATACATATCGACGGAAAACAAAACTAAGTCTTAAGACGACTGGCTAACGTCTAAACAGAGCTTTGCATGCTTTTCACCGTCTCTACCAAGCCAGTACTTTCGGTGGTCTTTTCCAGCATCGGGTCGACAAAAACGTTACTGCTTTCGGCTTTGGTCAAAACACTCAAATTAACTAGATTACATGCAGAAATAGTGAGCTCATGGCTGGGTCTCAGTATCCCCAGACCACGAGGTCACTCCTAAAAACAGGGCTACTACTGTTTATTATATTATTATTGTTTTTGTTCAGTAGATAAAAATCATCATCTCCATCGAAGATGGATCAACCCTTTCCCCCAACTCCTAGCTTCTCATCCTTATCAAAATGAATCCAGATGTTAATTAAATTCAAATCAGGACATGACAAGAAGCTAAAAGTCTATATAACAGGCTAAAAGTTTCAGTTCCGAAGTCCTTCCGGATTCTTGAATCCACTGAATCAAGCTCGTTAATCTTGATTTCTTCTTAATCCGGAAGGCTGTCATCCACCCTTCACCGTCGTCTGCAACGGCCTTGCAACTATTGTAGCGACACAATAGTTGCAACTCGGAACGTTCTCTGCTGTTCCTGCAATCTGCTGTTGTCTTTTTATGACGATTCTCGTAGTTATCGTCCGCGCAACTAATGTTGTTGTGTTCTTCTTTCTCGTATTAGCCAAAATGGCCGTTTCTGACGTTTCTCAGAAATATGACGTCAAAATTCGAATTTTTAAAATTTTAAAATACCAGAATATTCTAGCCCTCACCGTTTGGCCGATCGTTCCAATAACGTTCTTAATTCTTAATAATCACCAATCCGGAAAACTCGCTGCCAAAAATTCGAATTCTGCAGAGATTGCATTTTTCACATTCTGGTCGAATGTCACAAGAGCCAATTTTTGACAGCGAAATTGGAGACTTGATTTTACGACGCGAGCCAACGGACGTAAAAAGATTCAACCCGTTCCAAGATAGATTCGGCTCCAAATGGTTGAACGTCATCCCGTGCAAAAATATAAGGTTAAAACTGTCGAACCAACAATTCAGAATTGCGATAGAACTTCGATTAGGCTCAAAATGCGGACGGCATCAGGGACTTTGATACCGACAAACTTCCGATATCGGTATCGGGCATCTAATTAATTTATAGCCTAATTGTTGTGATAAACTTATTAAATAGGTCTTTCCCCGTATACAAACTGTGTATTTACAGATATATGCCCTGGAGATAAATCTAAAATAGCTTTTATTGAACGGAAAAAATAGCAAGGTCCTACTGCTCTAGGTGTTGCAGGTGAAGATTTATGGTGCACTTTGTTGGCGCAAGCTCTTTTCGTGCGGCCATCGACGCATTCCCTAGAAATTTCCAGCGAAAAATATTCCCCATCCAGACATCAGTAGGAGGATTGAGCATCAACCCTGCCACAAAAAAAAAGACTATAAAGTAAGTTTTTTTTCTGAAATTACAAGGGTTGCTTCTTGGGACTTAATTGTCTTAGAGCGGCCAGTAATAATCAGATTAGGGCTTAGTGTTTTTGAAGGAGAAATTACGGGGTAGCTTCTTGAGACTTCAGTGTCTCAGTGCGGCCCAGTAATTTTCGTGAAATGATTTATTACCTTCTCTCATTCACTTCTTATTCTTTTTCCTCTCTTCCTACTGGATTATCTTCTTGCACTGCAATGAATGGTCACCAGAAACGCGATTTCTTTCCAATAATAGAAGAACTTGTACACGCCAACGCCAAACTCTTCAATAAAATCACATCCAAGCAAACCAAAGAAAGCCTACTATGCCTCCTACCGGATTCCATATCACAGTTACGAACGGCAAACAGGCACCAAGAACTTCTACTGAACATTCCCAAACTTGAAAATGCCATTTATGATCTTTCCACCCAGGTCAAAGCAGTTTGCTCAGCGGAAGCCAAAAGTGAAAGCAAAGGAGTGAAAGAGTCTCTGAGGGAAATCACAACCAAAGTCAATGGATTAACCTCCACCACAAAACCAGCTGATGTTCCTCCTCCCGACAACGATGAACATCGAAAAGAATCAGTAGTAATACTGAACGTGCCCGAAGTGACAGATTTCAAGTATCCATCTGATAGACTCCTCAAAAAAAAACTCAAATGTAGAAAAAGTTCAGAATATTGTGAAGTGCGCGGATGCTGTCATCACTGATGTATACCGTAGAGGCTCATTTATCAAAAACGCAAGAAAGCCTCGTCCTCTCATCGTCCAATTTCACAATGCAATAACCGCCAAACGGGTCAAGGCTTCCTCTGGCCTGCTCAAGGACTCCTCCTTCTTCCTTCGAGGCGACTGCACCAAAGAAGAAAGAAAAAAAGAGGAAGCACTGCTTAAAACACGCTACCTTCTCTCTCAAAAGGGCATCAGGAAAGAAGACATGAAAATCAAAAATCTACTATAAAGACAAACAGCTATGTTTGAACTAGCCGATGTTGACACTCTCCATTCCACAGTCTCTCAATTGTGACTGACAACTCCGAGGAACAATATTTTCCTGATGATGATGAATGTCCAAAGCCTTCTTAGTCTTCAGAGAAGATTAGCATATCTGAATTTTTTCACTGCTTACAACCCTGATATCCTCTTACTATCAGAAACATGGCTAGACAGTAACCATCTTGATATGAGTGTCTTTCCTGCGAGCAACTATAATATTATCAGTCGGTCAGATCGAACAAATGGGGCGCACGGAGGCGTCCTCATTGCTGCCAATAATTCTGTATTTAATAGTGTTGACTTCACCAGCATTGGAGTTGACAAAGACTTTGCCTGTGCCTGTATCATCACATTCCACTCTTCAATATTGTTGATTATCACGGTTTATAATCCGCCAAGAAGCAGCAACTATGCTATTTCGCCGCAGACTCTGAGTAGCTGTTTATCTGAATATTTTACCCTTTTTGGAGAATCTTTCAATTCCTCAAATAGTCTTCACTATGAAACTTTAATACTCGGTGCCTTCAATTTCCCTGATATTGACTGGCCGACCTATCACTCAACCAAAGCTGTTGACCTTCGTTTCCTTAACTGGTGCCAGGAGAATAATCTCCAGCAAGTTCTGCCCTTCCCGACCCACAAACAAAGCAATCTTCTAGATATTATACTAGTAACCACCCGGTGACCCACAACCCAGTATATTTCTGAATGATTTAAACTTCGATGTAGAAAAAAACTTGAAACACTCTTGTCGAAATGCCCTGATTCACATTCTCCGTCTTCCGATGGCCTTCCGTTCTGCCTGTATCACAACGCCTCAGCAGCATTAGCCCCTTTTGCTTACATTCTTTTCTCCTTTGTTCTACCCTCTTGTGTGTGGCCCACTACATGGAAATGCTGTTACATAACACCTATCTTCAAAGATGGCTCTCGGTCTCTTATTTCCAATTATCGCCCCATTAGCATTCTACCTCGGCTCTCTCTCATTCTGGAGCGACTAATTTTCAACTTTCTTTATCCTAGAATAAAGTCGCAGTTGTCCAAGCAACAACACGGCTTCCGAAAACATCGATCCACGGTTACTCAACTACTAGCCTATCTTGACAATATATCTTGCCTATCTTAAAAAAATGGGCCTCGACCCAAGTTTCATTGACCTCATCCGGAGTTACCTCGCTGACAGAACTCAATATGTGAAAATTAACGGGGTTCTCTCTAACATTGCATCGGTTACTAGTGGTGTTCCTCAAGGGAGCGTCCTAGGTCCGTTGTTATTCATTATACTCATTAATGACCTCCCAGACTACTGTAAATACTCAGACTGTTTTCTGTTTGCCGATGATAGCAAAATGATTTCGACAGAATCACCCATAGCAAAGAATCTACAACACGATATTGATAATTTCGTCGCTTGGTCTATCGAGAACTCAATGACTTTTCACCCAGACAAGTGTAAAACGATGTTATTTGGAAAAACTGACGACACATATCAACTCACAATTGGAAATCATCAGATATCGACCGCCTCATGCATCAAAGACATTGGTGTATGGGTGGCCGATGACCTGTCGTGGAGACCGCATATTGAAAAAAAAGTTAGCTTCAGCCAACAGGAGTTTGTTCGTGTTAAACAACCATCCCAATTACCTGCCCCACCACTACCATACTCCAAATTAATAAGTCATGTGTTCTCTCAGTTATTCTTTATGCTTCTCAAACCTGGTTCCCAGACCGTAACAGCATCCGCAAGCTAGAAGCGCTCCAATGTAGAGCGCTCAGATGGAGTACACGCAACTACACAGCTCCTTACAACATTCTACTTCGTGTGAAAAATATGTTGCCTATTTCTCTCATCCACCCACTCAATGATCTCACCCTTTTCAACAAACTTCTCAACGACAAATTAGATTTTGATTTGTTCCACTTTGTCTCTTATGCACCGGAAATGACCGGTCACCGATCCTCCGATAAAGTTATGTTTGAGATCCGACGCAATAGGAAACGACGAACTGGGGAGTCCTTCTTTAATCGTGTGGTGAAACTTGCGAATCAATTTCTCGCCCATCCTAGTCTTGGAATCGACATTTATGTTAGTCCCGTTACCTTCAGGAGAAACATTAAAATTTTTCTATTCAATATCACAGCGAATGCATACTCAATGCAAAACTCGTGCTCTCGGTTTATTAAATGTAATTGTTCTACTTGTACGTCTTGATTTTGTTATTACATTTCTTTATACCTTCATGGAAGGAATTTAAGTCTTTCTGTTGTTGTTGTTTAATTTGAAGTATCGATATCGGTATCGTTTTTGCTGTTTAAGTGGTATCGGTATCGGTATCGGTATCGTTTTTTCGGAAAATAGCTTTTGAGTATCGGGAAAAGTATTGTTTTGTATTGTATCTTAAAATAGACTCAGAAATAAAAAAACTTTTTTCGAACATTTTTATTTATGACACAATAAATAAAAAGCAAATGATGACATTTACTTAGAAATACATTGCGCGAGTGGGTAGCCGGGCTCATCTGACCTTGTTTGATATATTTATGATTGTCAATTGCAGACCATTTATCAAACGTTATGCACAGCAAATCGGACTTCGACCGCGCAGTGAAAATTTCACGAAACTTTTTAAATGCTTCGTGGTACTTGCCTTCGATGTAGTTGTCAAGAGATTGATAAGTAGGTTTGTCGTAGTTCAGTTGTCGATACATGAGCTGGAGTATCGGCGAGTTGACGAACTTTGTTATAAAAAAAAACTAAATTACAAAAGGGGCCCTTCCGTTTAGTAACGGTAAGTGCACAAGCTTGATAGGGCCATACCAGCGATATAAAAATGCATATATATCAGCAATGAAGTCATAAATCAACATTAAATGCATCGTCGTAATGTTAATTTATCTTAGCCGTCCTTCCTCTACAATAGCGCTTATGGAGTTGTCGATAAATTGAGCTTTGCGTAGCGATCTGCACCCCTTATACAAAGTATAGAGTTTCTCAGGAGCGCGAAGCTTATTTTAGTTCTTATGTAGTTTATAGATTCTGGATAGCTTTCTTGTTTTTTTTTCACTTAGTTTTTCGGCTAATCGCTGCATCGTCTTCGTGGCTGTTGGAGCAGCGCCACCGGTGCATCCAAAAATAAGCGGGCAGAAGCTACTCTGCTCTACGTTTAATATTCTTTGCTGATATTTGGAGTTCTTCAGCGTTTTGTGGTATTTGTATGCATCCTTATGCAGTTTTCGCGATGTTTTGGCATGGGGTTGAAACTTTTCACATCGAAGAAAAGGCGGCTGAATCGTGAACCCCAGAGTCTGTTTGCCTTAATGTCAAGTCGTGCCTCATCTTCAAGTGAAGTTGAATTGTTGACAAAGCTTTCGCCTTGCAACGGCTGAATTTTCGACTCAATCTCGACGTCATGGCAAACCTCGTTCATGAGGTTGGCGAATGTGTCTCTTATTTCATTGTGTCGTATGTGTGTGTAACCACCCTTTGCACAGTGAAGCGCATGTGTCAAGTTAAAATCAGCACCACATGCACATGTGAGTGGGGTTTTGACTGGTTCCCATCCGTATCTTAAGTAAATACCATCTCTGAACTCTGATTTATTCAAGTTGAAGTTGTATCTGCTCAGTGGTAGAGCATTGAGCCAGTTAGCGGCTCCCTTTTCAGAGGCCAGGTCGATTGTGTATTTATCTGTTTCATTTAAGGAGTTAATGAGG